GGAACTATACCCCTCATCATTGACGAGGGAAAGACTACGAGTCTGGAGTACTGGATATTTTGATGGTGGTAAATATCACCTTTATGATCTGGCCTCAGAATAAGTTGTCGGCTAAGGATAAATTACTGAGGATGTAAAATACTTCTATCAAATATACCCATAGTATTATTTATAATCATTAATAGAACCTTGAGTTTCCTTGATCCAAAAGATATGAAAGTTAAATTGCTTGATCTTTAGACTCATTAAATCAATGAATCCTTTGTTTTTGCCGCTAGCAATATTGTTACATAAAACAGTGATTAGTTATAAAAAGAAATATTAGCTGATAGTAAGTAATTAATATATTAATAGAATTTCGCATTATGATGTTAGAGAGAAAATAAAATAATGTTCGGTATCTAATTACTCAAGATTTAGAAAAGCAATATTCGAATAATAGTGTCTGTCACTTTATTATTAGAATCCTCCCTTTAAAGTACACACATGAAACTTAATTTGATCTTAACCCTGTTTTTGAATATCACTATCCTAATATAACTAATAATGATGAATTGTTTAATTGGTAGGTTGATGAAGAAACATTAGTTATTTATGGGTAAGACTTTGAAGTTTCATAGATAGAAATCTTATTAATTAAACCACATCTAGTTTAAAAAGCATTCTACATTATTCATTTTAAGATAGACGATGCTGTCACATTAATCAATGTTACTAACTGGATACATCCACATTTAATTGCTTTATGGGTCAATAATAATGATTCACAAATGAGACCAACAATTTTGACGGTTGATATAAGATCTTACTATAATGGTAAAGAATGGTTACCTGAACCAGAATGTAATTCAACTAAAGTAAATTTCTCAACTATGCATTTCTTAGGTAATGGATACAAGATTAGAAAAAGAACAAGTTACTTTTATGGACATCTATTAATTTAATTTAAGTTAAACGTATGTATGCTAATTTAGACTGATTGATATTAACCCTATGCTTTCCTTCATTAATTATGCCAATGTTCATTAACTTGAATTAAATGATGAAGTAAAAGTGGACGACTTTTTCCATGAATTCCCAAACAATAGAGCTTATCTTTTGACATATAATGATTTAGAGTAAATTATATGGTTAATATTAGAGTAAAAAATGGAATTGTAGAATTTTCAGTGATTTATTTTTCTGACATAAGACTTTAATAGCTTTAAATAATGGAGAAACTACACCTAATTGATTAATATGGCATTAATGTTATTGAAGAAGTGGTTGATTTTCAAATATGAATGAGTATATAAACATGAATTTTAAGTATACAATAAAAATTCATAAAAATATTTTTTTTTGCAGCTGTTTGTTAAGTTTGGATTTATTTAATATTTGTTACAATTTTATTGAGATCGATTATTCAATAACTTGAAATACTTTTCAATTTATTCAATAGAATCCATTTAACTATTAAATTACTAAGTCGATCATAAATGGTTGTCTTTCATTAGAGATTTTTTATCTCAGATGAAATAGCAATCTATCAAGTTTTTCATAAATCTATTGTAATTCAACTAATCGCTTCTTTCAAAACAATATTTGGAGAAGTGTTCTAGGAAATTCCAATTACTCATTCATATCATAGATTGTTCTAATAAGTGATAAAATTAGATTATTTATCATAATAATCTATGTCTCCTTAGAATTTTATTTCCAATTTATGATAATTACCACTTAATACTTATCTATCCTGAAATGACAATGACAATAACAACTCATTGTGATACAAAATTAATTATTCAATAACATTTTCTGATTCATCTTTCATTTTTCTAGAATATCTAGTTCCTACATTCTTTGTATCTCAACTAGTATACTTTCTGCAATAAATTAAGATTATTATTATTTTATTGATATTTTTCATTCAGTAATTATTTTTTCATTTATCATTCTATCAGCTTCAAAAATTTGTCTTGTTTGAAATAAAATTTATCGAGCCTAAAAAAATTAGTTAAGGAGTTTTGAACCTTAGGGAATTATTTGTCTATTATATATATTCACTTAAGGTCTAGATCTATTCACTTGAAAATTTAGTTGCAGAAACTCTTTGGGGTTGAGGATAAACTGTTTTCGGATTTTCATTGACAGTTTAAGAATAAGAAGAGATAATGTAACAGGACCATTTTCATGATATGGATGAAGAATATAAGCCAAAGGATGAATCGATTAAGTTAAATTGCAGGAAGGGTATGAAGACTCAACCGTGCAAATTTATTTTAATAAATTATGAAATTTGTCTAA